CTTTAGATTAGCCCTAGAGAATTGGTTGGCAATTTTTCAACTTCTTTTTACTAGCCCAAAAATATGTACAACAGACAAACCTCATCCTAAACCTAGTGGGCAGTGGGCAGGGACAACTAGGGAAAACCACAGGGCTGAGTACAATGAGGTGAAGAAAGGTGAGGCTGACAGTGTGATGAGACACCAGCTGTCACCTCCACTGCTTCCCAGATGAGCCTCATGCTCTGGTGGGGAAGTAACAGAAGCTTGCTGGACATTCCTCTCACTAAACAAACGGCCTTTCTGTTTGACACTTCCTATACACCAGGGATATGCTTTATTTCCATCAACAAACAAGGAGTGCAGGGTCACCTGGGAAAGCTCTATAGTCTAAGGTCAACTGGCAAACAAAACACTAAGCACAGGGATCAAAAATATCACAATCACCATACCACAGACCCAGGGTGTAGAATGGGTGTATCTAAGGAAACAGACTCAAAGTCTACCTTCTTACCATGAAATAAAGGTATATTTCTTTTTCTCCAATAGTAATAATAATGATAATAATAAATAGTGCCACTGACATGAGTGAGGTTTAATAACAGTACTTTCTGGGAGTTAGGAAATGATAATGACTTTTAGATGATGATGGTGGTAGTGATGATACTCTCATCATCTACATCAGAACGGATTAAATGTGGCCACAATTTTGGAAAGACTGTTTGCAGAAACAGTCATGTTATTTGTCATGGAACAGCGAACTATAAAGTGACCTTCCACTTCAATCACTGAAGCCATAGAAGTATAAAATCATGAAAAATGAACAAAAGAGGGCAATATTAGACTAAAGTTGATGATGCCGGAGTCTAGACAGGGGCAGATGGTACCAGGAAGGAGACTGCCCATCTATAGTGCTGCAGGGCCATACCTGGTCAGGAATGGCATCAAAGTGCCCCAAATGCCTTCACACACCTTGGCATCCTTAAGGCAGCAGCCACATGAATCCACACTGAAGACATGCACAATGTCCATATCATACTTAGTACTCAGTAACTACTTAACTCACCTGAAATTTACTGAATAGGAGTGCTGACTCAGGCTGACAATTCTGCCAAGTCAGCCACTTCCAATAAGAATAACCAGAGAGCCACAGAAAATGGAAAAGAGGATCCTGGACATTCTATGGAAGACAAGACCTCACTTCCTCTCATTTTTGTCCTAGTGAAATACCCTGCTAAGATCAAATAGAAGTTTTCAGAATAAGCAAAAAGAATAAGAAGACAAACACCTGCAAAATTCTGGGTGCCAACAAGCAGAGCAGTGCTGGCAACGATAAGTTTGATGGTTATCACTGATATCAACTTGACAGATTCAAGAATCACCTGAGAAAGAAATCTCTAGGAGTTTCTAGATAAAGCATCTGAATGAAAAAGGCTACCCTCAACATGGCTGGCGTCATTCTGTGGGTTGGGATTGCAGACTATAAAAGGAAGAGCTGACACAGTGTCTGCCTTCATGACTCTGTGCATCCTGGCTGTGAGTGCAGTGTGACCAGCCTCCTTTTCTCCCTGCCATGATGGAAATGCCTCCAACTGTGAGCTAAAACAACCCCTTCCTTTTCTTTATGCTACCTTTACAGATATTTTGTCACAACAACAAGATCAGTAACACTTCAGCCATGAACTCAGAATTATCAGTGAAGGACACCGAGCCATCTACAGGTTTTCAGGATCTCTAAACTCAGGGTCCAGGCCAGTACAACAGGATGCAGAATCCTAGGCCACACCTAGTCCAGTAAAGCAAAGTATGCCTTTTAAAAATTCCCCAGATTTCCTATTAACTTTAAAAGGCTTTCATTGAGTTCACTCTTCTTTGCTTTTAAACATGTATCAATTTTTGTGCTCCAGAATTCCATATTCAAAGAAAAGAACAGTAAGAGGGATTTTCCGCACCATATGTTAGAGACAAATTAAAAAATGCCTGAACAGAAGATGCAAACACCACAAATTAAGAAATAGAATTGACTGGGAGGTGATGGAGCGCATCTTTAATCTCAGGTGGGTCACTGAGTTCAAAAGGCCAGCCTGGACTACAGAGAGAGTTATAGGACAGCCAAGGCTACATAGAAGGTTACTTAGAGAAACCCTGCCATAAAAATACCAAAAGAAAAGAAGAAAATGAAGAAACAGAATTGGATTTGGTTTAAAGTTTGTTTCTTGTACTGATGTCAAATGTACTCATTTTCTTTATTATAAAGATTTATAACCTTAATTTCATTTAAATTGTGGTATAATGATATGCCAGATTATAATTTTATTGCATATATAAACACTGATAATTAGCCAAAGTAACCAATTGGTTTTACATTCTAACTTGTGAGGTTAAGATGTGTGGATAGACAGACAGACACATTTGCTTGTGCAAGTGCCCATAGTGGCCAGAAGGGGTATTCTATACCTCAGAGCTGGAGTTACAAGCATTTATGAGCTACTTGATACGGGGGCAGGGATCCATATTCCAACCCTCTGCTATAGCACTAAGCCCTCCTAACTACTAAGCCTCAAATTTGGAAGGTTTAAAAACTGGTCTCAAGAGCCGGGCGTTGGTGGCGCACGCCTTTAATCCCAGCACTCGGGAGGCAGAGGCAGGCAGATCTCTGTGAGTTCGAGACCAGCCTGGACTACCAAGCAAGTTCCAGGACAGCCTCCAAAGCCACAGAGAAACCCTGTCTCGAAAAACAAAAAACAAACAAACAAACAAACAAACAAAAACTGGTCTCAAGAGTTTTTCCTTGATGTGAGGCCTGGTGGGCTTACTTGTACTCCCAGCCCTCTGGAGGTGGAAGCAGAAGGGGTTCAAGGCTAGACTGAGCTCCATAGAGACTTCAAGGCTACCATGAGCTACATGAAACCATGTCTCAAATAATAAATTAATTTTTAAAAGTAGGTGTTGTTGTTGGTGCTGTTGGTGGTGGTAGTGATTTTTTGAGATAGGATTTCCTCTATATAGTCCTGTCTGTCCTGGAACTTGCTCTGTATATAGACCAGCGGGCCTTGAACTCAGAGATCCTTCTGCCTCCCATATGCCACCACTCCTGGCTTTTCTTTTTGTATTTTATTTTGACTGTGTGAAAATGCACATGAAGTTTACCATCACAATCCCTTTTAATACACCCCACAGTGGTATGGAGGTCCTTCAGAAGGCTTTATCATCACCACCCCCAACCAAGATAGACTCTTTCATCTTATGATGTGAACACATTCAGTATTAATATTGCATTCTCTCACTCCAACTCCCAAGCAAAGTCCAACCTGCTTTTATATCTGTGCATTTGCCTGTTCTACATTTTTCCTAACATGGGAATCACACGCCATTTGTCCTTTTCTGTATGGTTCATTTCATAGGACATTGTGCATAGGAAATGAACTTTTCTGCCTTTCCTAAGGCCACATAATATTCCATTATGTATATACACTACAATTCATTGATCCATTTATCTCTTCATAGAATTCAAGTTGCTTTTCCCTTATTCTGTTTATTTGTTTTCGAATTCAATTGTTCATTTATTTACCTATTTATTTTTGAGGAGGGTATAATACATTTTGAGGAGGTGTCTAAGGCATGTCTGGAACACACAATGTAGCTGAGACTGACTTTGAACATCTGATCTTCCTGCATGCTGGAATTACAGAGGTGTGTCTGGGGGCCTGCTTTGTGGGTGCTAGGGAATGACTCCAGAGCTTTGTGCATGCTATGGAAGCACTCTACCAAAGGAACGCATCTCCCCCAGTCTCCTCTCCTCCCACCCCACAACCCTTTTTAAGAAGCTATGTCACCAGGATGTCGGGAATTCTCATTTTACAAACAAATGCAAAAAAATGGAAACATGAAGATAGAGCTAACTACAGGAGCCAAGAAGACGGGCACATCTGAAAGTACTAATACAATAGCACCTTCTAAAATATCCTAGATCTCTTCTTAGAGTGGACACCCCCTCATTAACAAAGAATCACCCACTCACTCGCTACCTAGCAGGGGAAAGAATAGACAGAGGGCTCTGTGCATCAGTGAAGACACCAAATTACAGCTTTTTTTTTTTAAAGCAAATCAATTTTATTACTTTCAACCTATGAGAAGGGAACAAACTGCCAAAGGAGCCCTTGGGCTCATATTTTAATGAACACAAGAGAATGGTATATAATTACCATATCAAGTGCTATTGTGGAAATGGAGACTTCTGAAGTACCTAAGGTCACTTAAAACAGTTTAGGCTGAGGATTTTTAACACCCGACCACCAGCTCCACCAAGATGATATTACTTAGCTATTAATTTGCAGCTCTAGTAAAGGCTTGCTGAGAGAAGAGCGTAGTTAGCCCAGCATTGGGGACTAACAAAATTTATTCTATTCCAGTTTACAAGAAACATTCTAAAGTCTGAACAAATTTATGAGGAAAACTAACAACCTCTGAGAAAAAGATGGAGTAGACTGGGATATGCAAGTTATCAGGGCATAGGTAAACACTAGTTTATCTGTAAGACACAAAACCAGTAGGAGAAAAGAGAAAATAATTTCCAATACCCACTATAAGCTTATGGGAAAGACAAAACTCATAACATGACTAAATTAGCATCATAAGAGAGGGTGATCAAAGACAAAAGCGAGCTATACAACAGAATTATCAACAAACAAACAATGAAGTCCCCAAAGCTCAACACTGTTTGGTACAGGAAGGCTGTCTACTCTCCAGTTCCCAGACTTAACTTCAAAGACAGAATAAGAAAGAAATGTCTGTGATGACTTACTGAATGATAGCACAGAATCAAGCCATTCTATCTCTTTCATTTGTTCTCCCTGAACAGTTCTGAACTGACAAGTGTTAAAATCCATCAAGACCATTACTTCCCACCTGGATTTGGCATCCTTCAAGGAGGGGGAAGAGTTCTTTGTCTGCCTCATGAATATTCTGCAGATACAAACCAACCAAAAGTGAAAATAAACACATCACTCCCAGAAGCGCACCTCTGCCGTACGGATGTGTCCATCTTGCATCTTGAGTCTGTGGGATCTTCACAACAGTGTGCAAAAGGGAGTAGGCTAGGTTCACTGCAGTATAAAACTCATCTGTTCCTGTGTCCTACAGCCTCATCTATGAGGAGACAAAGTACTTGGTTCCGAGAACCATGGTAACTGACATAATCAGAGGAGGCTGGGGTCCAAGGAGAAAGAATGGTGTGCGGATACAGAGCAGAGGGAGAGCGTGTGGCAAGGGAGACCTAAGGAAACATGCACCAAACCTTCTCAGAGACACTGATTATCCTACTTAATTGGGTAAATTGTAAACACCTTTTAATTAACTTAAGAGTTATCAGTTATGAGCTCCTACTCCTTGTCTCAGGATGGGAATCACCTCTGAAAATTGTCACCCACCCTCAGAGGGCTTGTCCTCTATAGGAGATAAAACTGGGCACCTACTGCTATGCTCACTATGCTCGGATTTCCTGCCTCCCAACTCCTGCCCCTGTGCTTGGCCTTCCCACCTCCCAACTCCTGCCCCTGTGATCAGTCTTCCTGCCTCCCAACTCCAGCCTCTCTGCATGGCCTTCCTGCCTCCCAACTTCTCTAAAATCCAAGTAGAACATCCAACATTCTTAACTGTCTCGTTTGATGGGGAAAGTATTGGCTACACCATGGGCTCTGGATGTCTTAGACTAACAAATGTATCAAGGAGAAGGCCAGCACTGGGCTAAAGGCACTACTTCTCCATCCCTCAAACCCCATGCTTTCTCACTCTGCAGCCTACCTGTGTAATCTTCAGATTCGTGCAGCCTGCGTACCTCTCCTCCAGTCTCATTACTCATGGGAAAAAAACCCTAGCCCCTTTCTGCACAGTAGTTTAGATGCCATCACCCCATGATGGCATCTTCAAAGCCAGCTGAGATCCAGACCTCAACCAGGTTCTTCTGGGAACTGTGCTCAAGAGTCCCCATACCCTGAGCAGATTTCGCTCCTGTCACAACACAGGATTCAACACACTGGCTCAATAAATGTTTGATAAGTCTATTAAAAAAGACCTCCAAATTGTCACATGGTTCCTTTGCTCTGTACTAGCAAAGCCCTACCACTTCTTTGGTTCATACCCTCCATTATCACCTTCTCAACCTCTCTCTGTCTCAACATCAGCATTTCTATCCTACAGCCAAAGCTAAGCCTTCCCAACTGGGCACAAAAGATTGGAATCAGCAAATGGATGCTTTTCAAAATTATATGTTTGAGGGACTGGAGACATGCATGGGTCAGCAGTTAAGAGCAATGGCTGTTCTCCCAGAAGACCTGGGTTCAATTCCCAGCACCTACATGGTAGTTCCAGTTCTAGGGTATCCAACACCCTCACACAGACACACATGCAAGCAAAACACCAATATAAACAACATAAAAGTAAATAAATCATTTTTTAAAATTATATGATTGAGAGTTTATAAGGGAACTCTCATATTAATTAGCTTCCTCGTTTCTATCACAAAATACCTAACAAAGGACAACTTAAGGAAAGAAAGGTATATTTTGGCTTACAGTTCAAGAATGTAGCTGATCACATTACATCTGAAGTCCAATAAAAAAGTGAACAGGAAGTAGGAGTGGACTATCAAACCTCCATGCCAACTTCCAGTGACCCACATCCTCCAGTGAGGCTCTACCTCCTATAGGTTCTACTGCCTTCCCAAACAGAGGATGGCACCACTGGGAGCAAGTGCCTATGAAGGCGGTTCAAATTCAAACCACAACCCCTCGGGCTCAAACAGATCTGCAAACCACTGGACTTTCTGCTATCTTCATTTTACTAGCTCTGACACAAAGCCCATTCTCGCTTTTCAACATCTCATGTCTATTTCATGATGAGCTTTTACTTCTAGTGTGAATCTAGAACTTTCTGATACCCCTACATTATGGTTTATTGAAGTTGGAAGAGAGAGTGTGAATTCTTACCGGGGCGTCATTCTTTTCATTTCTTTGTTCAACTAGAACAGATTGAGCTCCTTTCAAGGGTGCTCACGGGGTAGGGGTGAGGGTGGGGGGCTGCCAGTAAATGACTTGATCCTCACCTCCTTCCTCAAAGGAAGATTTGTAAAGCCTACTGAATTACGTACCATTCTGATTTGGGACACAGTGGGAGGCAACATACATTTTTAGCTCTTAAGTGGAGCTCAGGACCATATGTAGCCAAAGTGTAGAGATTATATACTAAATATAGACCAGGGAGAATCTATGTGGTATAATTGTGGATTTCTAAGTTTTGATCTCCAAGCCACAAGAAGTGGGATCTATTCAAAGCAGTAGATTGCTTAGCACATAGTCTACAGCTGACCCGACCACTACCTTCCCTTTAAATAGACTGGGTTTTATCTGAGACAGTGCTCAATTCTTATCTTTTCTCTCCATATTTCTCTATTAAGGCTGTCTGTGTGGCTATTTGTATATTTTATCTCACAATTGGGGACTGCCCCACCCTCTTATGGGGACAGCATTAGTGTTTCCCACTTACCCAAAGTTTAAATGTCACAAGTCTGTGCACATGGCATCTGATTTAGTTCTCAGCAGCCGTCAGTAATGGAGAGCAAAGAAAACGGCCACAGTTTTCTTCTCGAGGGCCAGTTTCAGACACTGGAAAATACAACTTAATAGGGGGCAGGGTTCTAACACCCATCGGGATCCGAGGGGGGAAAAAGTGGTCTGTAAACTCCCGACACATCTGACAAGGAGCACTTGATGAGAAGACCTAAGGCAGCATCCGGCTTTTGTTCATGTCTATACGTATCTTTTAGGAAGGGGGACCCCAAATACAAGGGGAGGAAGCTGCTGCCACCCTGATTTCTAATTAGCTCCCTCACATCGCTGCAGGAAAAGGAAAATGGGTCTGGCTACTGTTTCCTTAGCATTTGCTGCTGCTTTATCTGAGGGTAAGGCATGAACACAGCCATCTAAATGCTGTGTGGTGTACTTGGGTTCAAAAGTTCAGCAATATCTGGACAAAGGGTAGCCCTCTCCTGGGGAAGGACCGTCTGGGGGCTGCAGATGGGGCTGTGGGAATCAAATCCTGCTCCTCCCACAGCCACCATCTGCGAAAGCTCGGGGCTTTGCAAAGGCTCTGACCTTCAGGCCCAGAGTCGTTCCTCAAGCTGCACCTGCCCAGGATTAGGTTTCCTGCCACTGAATGATGGCTTCTTTCATTTGGTCTGCAAACAGCTGTCACATGACCAAGAGGGAGCCAGGCAGAGGGAGCCAGACAGCCCCTTGCAAAAGGGCTGAGCGGGACACCGACTCGGGTGATTCATCTTCCAGAACCTATTCCTGAAATGCTTTTGTGTGTTGCTATCAACTTCTTGTTTCGGCTCACAGATAATTACAGCCTGCCAGAGACGCTGCTTTAACCTGGAAAGGAGACCGTCCCCATGACTCATTAGAGTGCCTAAGGATGAATGAGGCTCATTGTCTCTCCCTTTTCCCTCTGACCCCAACGATTGCTAAATCTATGGTTTCTAACCTTGCGAAAATGAGGGGAAACTTGAAAAGGAATCTGGCAGCTCACTGGAACACGAGCCTCGGCTGCATTGCTGAGATCAGCTGCACCTGCTGGTGGGACCTTTTGCTAATTCAAGTGATGTGCCTGCACCATGTGGAAAACAATCCTGGACGGCTAATTCATCAGGGAGTGAAGAGACTCCCAAAGACACTTCACTGAAGACACAGTTTGAGTGTGGTGGGGAATTTCGTGACATTTGGGTACAATATGATGAGATCTGGCCCAACAATCCAGGCATACAAAGAAGTACATTATTATGGTCACTCTCAAGCAAAATGAAATATTACAGAAAAGGAGAAGGCCATCTATTCAAGCAAACTTTACAACAATAAAGAATCATAGCTTCCCTTCTAAAAGAGAGTTCTGTATTCAACTACAAGAGCTGTATCTATACATAAGTGTTCCCAGTGGCTAATGGACACAGTTATAAATATAAAGAGGGAAGCAGGAAGGATGAACGATTATCTAACTGTCCCAAACCCCGGATGTCCAAATTCCAATTCTGTGGTCAGAGAAATGCCAGGCAGTAGTTTCCCTGCTGAGACCATCACTCCCAGGTAACCAGAATACTACTGGGTTCTTCACATAGAAGACATGTCACAAATGTGTTCCTCCTACTCAAACATGCATTTGTGGGTTAACATACAAGATCAGCGCGCACTAGTTGCAAGGGCAGACTGGTTAAAATTTGACGACCAAGGCATCAGAGTTAGGGAAACAAAATTAGAATTTGAGAAATTAATGTTTAAAGTTAAAGGGCTGGGGAGATGGCTCAGTTGGTAAAGTGTTTGTTGTGTCACCATGAGGACCTGAGCTTGGATCCCCAGCACCCATACAAAAAGGCAAGCACAGGCAAGAGCCGCTGCTATAACCCCATCACTGGAGAAGTAGAGACAGAAGAAACTTGGCTCTTGGGGGCCAGGCAGCATAGCCAAATCATGGCACTCCGGGTTTAGTGAGACGCTGAAAAAATAATATGAAGATTGAAAGAGAAAGACACCCATGTCTACCTCTGGCCCCTATACACTCATGAATACTCATACACACATGTTCACACAAATGTGCATACATGCATCACACACATACACGAGCGCACTTGCTCAAGCATACACGCAGGCACGCAGGCACGCTCCCACACACACTCACACACACAATGAGCACATACACACACTCTTAAAAGGCCCTTTCCATTATCCACCCTTTGTTTCAAGCCCTGAAAGTGCCAACCTTGGCTCTCAGCACACTAGGATGTTGTAAGGCTGACAGGAAGGAATTCCTATCTTTTGCATTAGCACTTAGTGTCTGCAAATGTCAACTGTGGTGCCCAGGTGTTGCAAGGCGTCTGTCTTCCTCTTAAGCAACAGGATGCGACAGACTGAATGCCTCTGGGTGATTATGGCAGTGCTCAAGTGAAGGCCAAAATGACAGAACACATGAGAAATATAATAATTCTTTCAAAACGTCCTAACTGAAGTGCCTCCTTTTAGATGACAAAATGGATTTCATATAGTTCAGGTTTTTTTTTTAATGGGGGTGGGGGGAGAAAACAGGCAGATCAGTTTATTTTCTGAGCACAGCATTAATGACAAGATGACATCACCAGCAGCCAATCAGAAAGCTCTCTAGTGTCTGGTGTTCTAACACCATTTCATATTTATGGATAAGCACCAGAAGGGTGTCAACCCAGAGCTGCAGTCCCCTCCCTACTCACTTCTAAATAAAGTGCCTGCTTCCATTCAGCAGCCAAACTGAAAAGGTTTTAAAGGGGTTGGGGGAAGGGAACTCAGAGAGTCTCCTTCTCCTCCTCCTCCTCTTCCTCTTCCTCCTCCTCCTCCTCCACTGTTTTCTGACAATCCTGAACAGTAAGGTCAGACTTGGGAAAGTGGCTCGGACCTGCACCACCGCTGCCTCATGTCCTCGGGAGTGTCTGCACCGTCCTTCAGCAATGAGCTCAGCACTGAAGAAAGGAGGCTGTGCACAAAAGAAGGGGTTGGGTCACCTTACTGGAGAAACGGATGCTACCTATCACTGGGTTTTTAATTATCTCATTCCCACTACATTCCCTAACCTCTTAAGTAGTTTGGAAGAAAAGTTAGCCCTGCCCTAGTTAATCTCAAGTCAAGTCCAGACTGACAGCACAGTGGCTCAGCCTACCACTCCACCAGATCTGCGAAGGCCAGGGGTCACCCATGAGCCCAAGGGACAAGGAAATACAAGGAACCCTTCAGTTACCTGATTGTAGGCTAGTCCCACACTGGAGCCTACTAGCAGGTGCAGCAAGA